CCAAGTACTCTGCAAACTTCTCCTGCAGCTCCTGTCACGTTCCCAATGCTGCCTGATTCTGCAGCATTTCTCCAGGAGAGGTGGGTGCAGTGTCTGGCTGGGTGCTGAGATGCAGGCGTGGACCCACACACCCTGAGACCTCGTGGGGAAGGACTGAAAATAAGCAAAGAGCAGACACAGCAAAGGGGGCGAAGGCACAGGGGGTTAGCCCTTCTTCCACATCCAGACTTCGTCTCGAGAAATGAGACACCATCTGGTTTGGGTTGCTGAGACCTTTGGTGTCTTCCAGCGACTTAAAGTTAACCAAGGAACCGGCCTTTACAGAGGTAAATTGGGGAGAACTTGAAATCCAAGGCAAAATTTAACAAAAGGGCATGAAGTGACTTACATGTTTGGTATGCTTAGTATTCTGAATTCTCATTTTGATAGCGGAGAGCACGGTTTTGGGTTATTGATGCAATTTTTTTTTCTTGCGTCTCTCATACTAAATTGAAAGAATAAAATCTGGACAGCTGCCTTGGCATCTAGCAGAGATGTGAATGCTCAAGAAACAGTCTGAATAATGTATTGCTGCTTTCCTGGCTGATGTCCTTAATATCAACTTCCCTACTCTCAAACATGTTGGCACGACTCTTTTGAAATATTATATTGCCAGACCAAGTCTATCAGGCCACAGCATCCTGGCTGGGAGTCAGCAGATCCCTTCTGCTGCCCCTGTTGAGTCTCTGCAGCATCTCTTGGCCACTTGACATCTCTTCTGCTTCCCCACCCGTGCAACAGGGCAGTAACAGCACCCAGTCCACTGGGAAGCAGCTGGGGACCCTGAGATGAGAAGTTTTAAGAGTCAATATTAACATTTTAATGCATATTGCTAGTGGTTTCAACATTTTTCTCATATACACAGCAGCATTTTCCAAGAATTGGATGTTTTTGAAGTGATATCACCACATTGGTGGTTACTAGAGTGCCCATGAGCTGATTTAGAGAGATTTGCCTTTTGCAGCACAGCTCCTTCTTTGTTTCCACATTTCTCCTTTGCTTCATTTCCACATTTTCCCATTAATATGATGTGTGTTAATTTTGGTGCGCTTCAGCCCTACATACAGACTTGCACATTCACAGCCCCTTGGTGCCAGTCAGCCGTTACCACCAAGTTATTCACTCCTCTTTCTTGTAAATGCCTCCACCTATAAATAAATCAAACAAAATAAACAATTAAGATATAAAATAATTGAGGAGTAAATATTAAAATATAAATGAATCCAGGACCTGAACCCTCTCCCTGTGGGTCTGACCAGTGCAGAGCAGGGTCCCCTGTGTAGCTGTTGTGCTGCCGTGGGTGGCTGTAGAGGGATGCCAGCTCACGGCAGCCAAGGAGATGTTCTTGGGAAAGTAACTCCGGGTCAGAATTTATTTTTTATTTCCAGGATTTCCAAATCTGGGATTGATTACACAAAGAGTTGAGTCTAAATCATGTTGACATCTGCTCAGGGGTGAACTGACCCCTCTTGCTTGCAAAGTTGGACACGGGTGAAGCTCTAGCCAGGCCTGTTGGTGAGGTACTGCAGCAGAACGGAGTGAAAAATGGCTAACCATTGTAAGGAGCAAATTATCTGAACACCTGGAAGTAAAACCATATGCTGGGGAAATTAAAATATTAGAAAAGAATGCAAGCCAGGCAGCTATGAAGGAGGGATTCTTACATCTCTTCTGTTGTTTTCTGTCACATTTAAAGTTTCCAGTAGATTAACCCCAACTTTTAGCTCCCAACTCTACCAAAATATCTATGCTTCATTTTTGGTGTGCCTCACCTCAGTATCTTACAGCCAGGTTCCACAGAAAAGGGCAGTTTGTTCTGCCACTCGTTCTGCCCAGCTCACTAAGACAGGAAAACTTGGAGACCATCAAGGGTTGAACACCACCATCGTGTATGAGAAATGGTTTATAAAGCACAGGAGGGGTGGAGAACTTTCTCAAAGCAGGCTGTGCTTTGCCTTAAGGAGTGGGCAGCCTGAGTGTCTAACTTTATGATTCCTCACACTTTTAAACGGTGCAACTGAAGTCAGTGTGACCTGCACCGAAGTAACCGGGTTGTGCCTCATACAGCTGGCTCTAGAGAGGCAATCTGTGATTTTTATATCCATCTTGGCAAGCTTAGCCCTCAAGACTAGTGGAACAAGCACAGCCATGCACTTAGTGTCAATAATTTATTTGTTCATTAGTGCATCCAGATTCGGTCCTGGGTGCTGTTTAAATTGATGCTTAACTAAGTGACAGCCTTTCTTACTGCGAGCAGGTGCTGCAAGTGCTTCTGTCAGTGCATCGTGAGTTCAGTTACCAGTCCCTGCTGTAGTTCCTAATAGTTTGTTGCACGGCCATTCAGAAAGGATTCGCTGTACTCTGAAGTCCCAGCTCACTGCAGGCTTGGAGACTTCAATCTTAGGGATATGGTTTAGTGGTGGGCTCAGTAGTGTCAGGATGATGGTAGGATGGGGTGATCTTAAGGGTCTTTTCTGACCTAAGTGACTCTATGAGCTGTGGTGCTACCCAAGGGCTTGGGGGTGAGAGCTCTTTCTTCCCTTTGTGTGTTTCTTCAGTGGTTGGCCAGGCTGGTGCAGCAAGGCAGCTTTGTGTTTGATATACCTGACCTCAGAGGTTATGCTGGCATTTTGCCTTTGTACGAGCAAGAACACTGCAATGTCCCACGTTGAATGCACAAATACTGTGCCATTTACAACATCTGATAACATGCAGATCCACATGGACACACGCTAGGAAAAATATGCCCCAAGAGAAAAGAAATTAAGATGAAAGTCACAAACTGAGCCAAACGTGCTGGATTTGGGGACATTTGGAGATTTAACAGCCGTTAGCACAGATTTTGATGTTTGTGGTGCCGAGGAAGCACAAACTTACAAGAGGAGAAAGTCTCACACACACACGTACGGTGGTCTCAACTCCTGCTCTTGTGGTGGCACAGGACATTTCCCTTCCCCCTGACCCCACAGCAACCTCCCTGTGCCAACTGCAGGGATGGGAGACACGGGAACCCACGCTGATCCCCTCGCAGAGCATGGGGAGCTGTCTCCAGAGAGGGCTCAGCACCTGCACGCTGGGCAGGACGCGCCCCAGGACCAGCCAGCTATTTGCAGACCACTGCTGGTTGCTCTGCAGATAGGTTTGGATAAGGGATTTAGGCCAGCAGCCAGGAGCAATGGAGACAAGTAGTCAGAAAGGAATAAAGAGAGAAAGGCTGCTCTTCCTAATGAGTGCAATAAAACAATAAAAGTGCAATTATGCAGTAAAACTATTGTCATTTTGGGTTTAGAAGATAATGCACTAGGCAATAACGCTCATTTTAGCCTGTGTTTTCAGGCATTTTTTACCCTCTGACATTATAATTATGTACTACTATCTGATTCCTGCATCTCTTCATTTTTATGGGTACTGAAGCATTGCATCAGAACAGTGTCAGATCCAGAAATTCTGTAAGCCCATGCTCGTCCTTAACTTCATTTTGCCAGCTCTTTAACATACACTGAATTGTAGTCTCTCCATCCTTCACATTTGTTGAGTAACATGATAGCATGAGAGAAATAATTACAGCCAAAGTATAAGATGCATTCCCAATGCTGAGCTCACTGTATCTATTTCTCTTGCACATCAAATCTAGAAATTGTGCATGAAATCATTTTTATCAACTTCCCCCTTGCTTCCTGTTAATAGCATAATTTTATGGAGGATATAAATTATAGCTTCTGTTTAATTTTGAAAAATGTCCTATTCCCTGCAGTTACATTTTGTCATAATAACCACAAATACTAACAAAGGCAGAATAATCTGCCTTATTGGTGCTTTGTTTTCTTGGTTGGCAAATAGTATTTGTCTTCCCCCTCCCTCTCTGGTTCCCCTGTTTTTTGGGGAATCAGTTTGATGGTGGGTTATTAGAACAAAAGGAGTGAAACATACCCATGTTCTGTGTGTGTGTCTATGCTTAACTATTTTTAATATGATCCCTTGGCTTTAAGCCATTTCATATGTAGTTTCACGTCCTAGTGTTTTGAAGCTTTCAAGCTGAGCTAGCCGCAGTTGGTGGAGGCATTTCTGCTTTGGAGTGATCTAAAATGATCTCCTGGGAGTTTGAGCAAATGTCTTCCTTGCGTGTTAAGAACAAATGCCAGTATTTAGATTGAAAATTCTAACTTTAACTTATATCTGCATGCCAGTTTTACAGCAGAGGAGAGCCCCGCTTCAACCTTACTTTTTTAGTACTGTTCTTGCATTGGTTTAGTAATAATAATAACCACCCTCTGTCCTTTAGGAAAGCACCATCCTTCAATTTGTAATTGACTTGGGTCTAATTCTTAACAGTGGTTCATTTTGAACACCGGGATTTAGTCACTGCTTTTCTAAAGGTTAATATAAATCTGTAATGAATGGTACAGATTAAACATTGGTGACATTCTGTTTTCCCATCTTGTATAGATAAAATATTTACACTTTAACAGAGATCAATTTAGAAAGCAGGTGCAGCTTTGATGTTTACATCTTTTAATCAGCAACCTTAATTAACAAGTTGTTTGCTAATGATTAATCACCTGCACAAATACCGTGTGGATTTGTCAGTTCTGAAGTTACAGGCATCTTGGATTACTTTTTTTTTTTTCTTTTCACCTTAAGATGAAAAATGACATAGGATGGTGACGACTGTGTCCTACTGAATGCTTGAGCTGGGAAGGCGCAGAGGCAGGACTGGGTATTTTCCAGCAGCCCTGCTCTGTGCGCAGAGCAACACAGGCGCTACCTATCAGGCTTTGGTAATTGCTATAATTCCTTTAATATTATCCTTCCCAGATGCAGCTTTGCAGGGAGGAGGTGGGGATGATTGTTACTTGCACCTGCAGGTAGCTCCTAGCACATAAATTAGGCTGGGGAGGGTAGGAGAGCCCTCCTTTTGGTGTCAGCATGACTAAAGGCACAGGTTTGTTTTCCTTGTATAGTTGGGGGACAAGCTGTTAGTGTTTGAATTACCTAATAAGAATTTTAGTTTCAAGTTCTTATCTTTCCTTTGAGTGTTTTGGTGAAAATTTTGAGGCTTTTTTTTTCCTTCTTTGTTCTAGTAGTTTCTTCTGCCCTCAGTGTTGTGCTTTTGCATGCAGAACCAAGCCTTCCTTGCACAAACGCGGTTGTGTTGATGACTTCAGAGGTACTAGAAGCAGCAAAACCAAAACAGGTCTGCCATGAGAAGAGGGATTTGCTGCTTCTGTCCTGCAGCTGCTGTCACAGGAGGTTTTGCCTGGGTGTAGCCTGAAGGTGCCCCCTGGGGCAATGGGAGCTTGGGTGCTGTGTGAGGGCAGTGCTGGTGGGAGCAGTGGGGGCTTCCCTCCTGCAGAGCCCCCCCAGTGTTTTTTGTTGATGACAAATCTCTGGGCAAGCTCATTAAAGATAAACTCCCTGCTCTACAGCTTGCAATAATTTATTATCGTTAAGCTATAGTTTGCTTTCTGAGCAGAAAGGCGAGGTTGAAAAGTGCCTCTGTTCTGGTGGTGTCATTAAGCCTTAATTCAGTACTTCACGTTACGAAGTACTTACTGGCTTTGTTTATTCACACGAAGGCTTTGACAGTGATGAAGTTGGAGAGGTCTGTGTCCTCCTGGGTAGTCTTCATGGATGCTCCCCATAAAGCTCCCAGGCCACTAATGACCCGCTTACTTGCAGCAGTCCATTAACTCATTTTATTCCTACATCACAAACCATACAGCTGACCTCTTGAGTGATGAGGAGGTGTCGAGATGATTTGTATCTCTTCGGCTGTTTTATATTACTCTGCCTCCTGTGAAACGAATTATAATGCAGTATCGTTGAGGAAATAAGATTTAAGGGAGGCTTTGTGAAATGAGTGCAATATTTCAGGAGGTATAATTGGGAAATACTTAGTAGAACAAGACACCTTAATAACTGTCTTCAGTGGAAGTCAAAACATCTGAATCTCCTTGAAGACAAGGAATTGATTGCTCTGCAGTACAGTTCTCCAATCGATTGGTAGCCCAGCTCTGGAGACAGGAGCTTGGCATTTAACCTCGCACAGCAGAGGAATGAAACCTGAACCCAGTGTACGGGGAGCTCCGTGCTGTGCTTTAGTGGGAAATCTGTCTCAAATGCCAGAACAAGAGCTGCTGCCTTTTTAAAATGGACTCTTATTTCCTTGCTTGACAGGCTGATAGCAGTTGAACTTGTGAATAATTTAAGGATTAATTGGAATGTATTTAGGAGAGTAGCCATCACTGGAGACAAATGCTGAGCTTGCACTAATGATGGTGCATGTGTGCCAGGTGAGGAGGAAGTGGGAGGTATTGTCTGTGATTTCTTTGTTCTATTACCAATATGTACCTTGGCTAACTACATGCAGGCTTGGGTTTCTGGACTCAAAACTGATAGTTATTGTGCTCCTGCATTATGAGTTGGTCATGATGAGTTGGTTAGACATCTTTAATACCCTACAGAGCACTACTGGGTTTTCCAGCATGGCACTGACAATTTAGGAAGTGCAGGTTGCAGGCTGGTACTGGCTATCTGTTCTGGGTGCTGGAATATGGATTGCAAGAAGCCTTAAACCCACTGCTGTTAGTTTTTTTTTTTTCCTTCATGTCACAGCAAGGAATAAATGATCTCCACTGAGATTCACGCTTGATGAAATATCTCCACCAGCCTGAAACTTTAAATATTTAGGAGGTAAGTTCCTGAAGAAAATGAAGTGATAGGCTGGGATTTGACACTTGGCAGAGCTACAAATGGAGAAGCCTGTTAGCCAGCCAGGTGGCATGGTCATATCTGCAAATACTAACCAGGAGGGCCTCCTAGAAAAGTCTGGGTTCAAAGTCATGCTTTCTCTTGTGCTTTCCTTCCTAGGGCTGTGTCCTAGTGAGTCTGGGCACGTTTCTGTGTGAAGCAGGGCTGGAGGGTCCAAGAGGGCTGCTGTGCTCCACTCTGACCTGCCATTAAGTGATCCCTGGGCTCAAGCTCTCTGCCAGGATATATCAGCACCGGCCTCTCAAGGGGCTTAAGCAGAGAAACATCTCGATTTGGTGAGAGAAGGGGCTGTGTATGCAGAACTTTAATCTAGTTTTGCCCTGTAGCATGGTTCATGGGAAGCTATTTGTAAATGTTGAGTTACAGCAACCAGAAAGGCTTTTAGTTACGGTACAAAGAGAATGTGAAAGATGACTCCGAATGGGGGGAGGACAGGGAGAGAAGTCAAACCCTTGTCTGGCTGTGCTCCAAGGCTGCCCCTCCAAAGCAGAACTCATTTTCTTGCTCCACCATGGAGATCATTGCATGTCCTTTATTCTAGGCAGAGAGAAGGGATGTGACATGCTGGACATTAGAAGCTGTGCTGAAAAATGTCTTTAAGATGTGTGTTCATTGTAAGCCTCCATTGCAGAGGACAAGCTGACTTCTCAAATGAGTGAGCAAAGCATTAATCCTCAACTGAAGGCTGTGTTTTACCCAGCCTGACTCCATTGTCCAGAAATGCTGGCCCTGATAGCTCAGACGCAGGGACTCAGGCACTTTTTTTGTTTTGGAGCATTTTTTTAGTTGTATCTGAACAGTCCTGAGCAGCTTTGTGGCTGAGACATCAGGTGCACAAAAGGGATAAAAGTCCTCATCCAGCCCACAATTCTTAGCATTTAACAGCACCTTTCAGCTATTGTGAGATGTATTATTCCATATAGTGCATGAGGGTTTGGTCTGGTTTAAAGAGGTGATATGTGACTATTAATTTACTAGGGAAATGGCAAAGATGTTTATAGTGTTATCAATGTGCTCCTTTATTTCCATATACTATGATTTTATGCCTCCTTATCTGCAATGATTTAAAGGTTGATGCATAGTAATTGATATAGCTTATAATGGGACAGGATTTTTTAAATTTGTGTTTAAGTGCATATCAAAGTTTTTTAAATCCATATCTTAATGAAAGTGCACTTAGAGATGAACTTCAAATATGGAGTTTCTCATTATTTCTGTTAATTATTTGGCAATGAAATACTTTGTTTTCCTTCGTGAACTTACACCTCTGTAATCTGTGAAACAAGATTGTGTTTCAAAAGATAAAACTGGAGACTGATTTAGTACCAGAGTTCCCAAAATGGGGTGTTCTCATGCAACAGTTTTCTCTGGAGTATAAGAATTCCTAGGGAACGCACGAAGTCATCAAGAAAAATAGAAACCTTATATATGTGTACACTGCCAGTTTACATCTACAGAAATGCTATTTAAATAGTAGCATGTCCAAATGTTGTTGTTTTAGTGGATTTTATTGGGCACCAATTTAACTGTAAAGAGTAGATGCATTTCAGGATAGCAAAAAAATGTTGTTTTCCCATTCTGGGAGGCTTGTCAAAATCTTCATGTCTCTTCCTCTTTCATATTTAGAAGAGATGGATATCTTTCAAAGATTCCCATCCCAGAATAGTAAATTGATTGAAAAATGCAGATGTAGCAAATGGTTTGGCTGATGGTGAGAGCATTTGCTTCAATCAGCAACTTGAGCTTCTAGTCAAGATCCACTCTCCTATAGGGATTTGTGTGGTATGGTGCATTTCTCTAATCAAGTACGTGGGATTTTTAGTAGTTTTGGCCTATTATCTTCACTCACCAGGCTACATCCCTCCAGTGCCCTTCTTGGACATCAGGTACATACAATTGTCCTTTTGTTTTTGCATCTTGAAATCTATTTTCCTTTAAATAGGGATTTACAAAAACGCACTTCCCTCTGGCTCTTCATCATGACAGCAACACCTGGTTGGCTGTAACACACAAGGAGTTTTAATTGAGAGAACTGATAGTGCAGACACAACAGCACTGCATTACTAACTTTTCCTGTGCAGAGCAAAAAGTCTCCTGGTGTTTCCTTTTGTTTGCCTTTAATTCTGGCAAAGCATAGATGCTGCTCTGTGATGCTGTGTGAGTGTCTTCTGCAGAGTGCTAATATCTTGTGAAACCTACTCCACAAACGTGGTATTTGAGTTTATTTCAGCTGATGACTTGTTCTTCTTTCCTCTATCAGTAATACTTACATGATCTTATTCTGATTATTTCTTCCCAGGGAAGAGGACTGAGGCTTCATCTGAGAAGTGATTTTTAAAGAAATGAAAGCCTCCTCCACTGCCTTAATCATAAAGAGGAAATATAAGGCCAATCTTGATCCTGTTAGAGTCTCTAGGCTTCCACACACTACCAGTCTTAAGATTAAAGAATATTTGTATGACTGATCTTAAGTTCCTGCTGCTCTCGTGTGCTTCCCATCAGTATGCTGCAAGTTCAGTGCCTGTTGTGCAAAATTAATTCCTGTAATATCCAGCTGTGATACCCAAGGGAACTGTGACTTCAAATGGGGAATTAACACAAGAAGCAAATCAACCCTTTAAATGAAACCTGGGTTTTGTGCAGATGCTGTTCAGAATGAAGAACCTGTTTGCACCTTTGTTTGACATGGTAGAGTCATTAGAGAGCCACAGGTCATTGGATGATGAAATGTATGCATTTCTGCAGATTTTAAATGCTTGGTTTAATGTTGACAAGTGGCAATAATTCAGGTGCTTCATAAGCATCAGGCTTTTTCTTCTCCTTAATGAGGAAGACAGTGCTGAAGGAAGAAGCCATCTTCTGAGCTAATTGTCAAGATATGCTTAAGAAGAGAATTGTCAATCACTCCCTTGTCAAAAGTGTATGGAAGAGAAATCATCTTTTCACTATTTATTTCTGCTACAAACTTAGGTATTCCTGCTTTTTTTTTTTTTTTTTTTTTTTTTTTTTTTTACCTTGAGGGAGATCAGAGTGGTTTAATGCTGAATGGCAAAATACCATAACAGCATGTGTGCAGCGGAGGCAGTGGGCTGTACACAATCAAATTGGAGGGATTTTCGGTGGCAGATCACATTAAAATAAGAGCTCAGGAAGAAATTGGCTTTGCTTTTGCATTTAGTAGCACATCTTATTCTTGGGGACATTCAAAAAAAGGTGCTCATCTTCTTGCAAATGGATCTTTGCTATTCCCAGGTAGCCTGTAATCTTTCTGTGAAAACAACATAAGCTGATTTGGAGGAGGGAGGTGGTAGGAGAATTGCTGAGAAAACACTTTGTGGAGTTGTTCCAGGAGCTTCGTGTGTGCGGTGCTCCTCTGCTTTCCCGGACCAGCACAGCTTGTGCTGAAGGATGTAGGTAGAAATGAGGATAAATTGGAAAACTGCAGTGTTTTTTTGTCTTGGTGGTGGTGGTTTTTTAAGTTTCCAGGAGATTATCAAACACAAAAGAACACTAATATATTTTCCTGTCAAATAAAGATATTCTATAAAATCTTCAGCCTGCATGGGGTAAAGGAAGAGGGAGAAGATGTTTAATGAATGCAAAAATATTGCAAAGCTTCCTTACTACAGGCTTGTGCTTAAAACTTGATTAATGTATAAGCAATGCATGGGGATGTATGACCAAAATACAGTTGGTTTTTATCTTCAGTAAAGTGAAACTAACACCACAAAAGTTGAAATACACAGGGAAACAGTCTTTTGTAAATTGCCACTTTATTTTTCATTTGTTGCTCAGGGAGACGGCATAGACAGGCATCATTGTTTCAGTGGCCTCTGGATATTTTTTCATTTTGGGACTGATGTGAATCCCATTAAAACTTGCTGGGAATCATTTGATTCACCTGACGGCTTTTCCCCCACTCAACCCTGTAAAAGATCAGAACAGTCTTGTTTTTACTGTTTTTTAATTATTTTTTTATATGCTCCTGGGTCTGCTATTCAAATTATTCTAATATCCCCCTTGCTGAGGAACAGGGATTTTGCAAGTGACACCTAGTAATTACCCTACTGCTAACCAGAGCCATGGGAGATCTGGAGGAGGGAGGTATTTATGGCTGTAGGAACACTGCCGTGCACCAGCTATGTGCAGTTTGCATGGACACTGACTAAACTAATTGGCTTTCAAGCAAAAACACTGGCCCCTGGATCTGCATTTTCAGTATTTCTGAGTCACAGCATGGCTGATTTGGAAGGGACCTCTGGAGGGCATCTGGTCCAAACTCCTGCTTGAGCAAAGCTGCCTGGAGCAGGTTGCCCAGGGCCATGTCTAAATGAAGCTTGTGAAGCAGCACCTCTTTACTCCAGCTGGGATGTAGTGAGCACATTGACCTGGAGGGTGGGAGCTTATATGAGCCCCCAGTGTGTGAGTGCATCACCGCCACCTGATCGCTGACTGCATTTGATCTAGGCTCTTATTCCTAGAGCAGGAAGGCAGGTGCTGTCCTGGAGAGCAGATCAAAGGCTTGTGCTCCATCTGATCCACTTCTCTTCTGCCCCTTGCTATAGCTCCAGGCACAAGTGGCACCAGTGGTTTGGCAGCAGTGTGTTGTGTTCTGCCCAAAGCATCTTGGCACGTGGAGCAGGACCTTGACAGGAATTCATTGTGGGCTGGCACCTGGGGGAATGCATACTGCTCATATTTCTCAAAAGTTCTCTATTTGTATATTCTACATTTTATGTACAATGAATAAAAGCATCTGGGAACTTGCAGTTATCCAATTTAATAAAGGAAGAATTTACTCTTTGATACTTCCCTGTTCTTGTCAGTTACTGGGAGTTTATTAATTTGACCTCTAAGCTCAGGGCAGGAGCGGAGAGCGGATCAGTGTCACTTGTAGGTACCTCTTCCTAGCAGTGACAGCATAACCAGCAAATTCGGAGTGAAATATCATTCCTCATCCTTGTGACAATAAATTGTCACACTGAAGCATGAGATGTGACTAATCACACTTTAACATGCATAAATGCATGCCTCATTACAGGCTGTAAAATGAGCTTGTCCCTCTTTAATATCTCCAGCTGCTGTGCTTGACTCCAGCCTGCTGTATTGAACAACTGTTCAGCTTTTTGTCACCTGGTTGTGATAAATGTTTCTGCTCTGAGCTTACAAAGTGAGGCTGCAGTTGTGTGCCCCCCTTTACCTGTCTGAGGGAAGAGGCAGAGAATGGGCAAGTTGGCTGTGGTGAGCTACCTGCTCATTGCTAGCTATGGTCACTGGTGGAGATGGGAGTGCATTAGCTTCCAATTTAAAAAATCTGTGTTCAGATCAATTTGTGATGCTTCTCACTGACTAGAAACAGATGCGAAGGTAGCATTTACTGATCACTGCTTCAAATAAAAGCTCACAAGCATGTTGTGTTAAGAATTTTCAGAGTCCAGCGTTTGCCTGTTTCAGAGCCTGGCGGAGAGCTTTCACTGAGACAGTCTCACAAAGTTGAACATATTTAATTTGGCAACAGATACAATGGATTTGGAGCTGCTGTTGATAAATACACTTACTGCAGTAGTGCTACTATATGATAACAGCACTAGCAAAATGCTGTCCTAGCTCTGCCTCACCAAAAACTGCAGAGCTTACCAAGAAGACATCCTTGTCTTGGGGGAGGAGAAAGGGTACAGCCTCATCTAGGTCTGCGATTCCCTCCCTCTTCCTTACTCTAACATCTTATTTTTCTTCCTTTTCTCCTTCTCACACTGACTCCTAGTGTTTTTATATCTTAACCATATCTGTTTCCTCTCTGGGGTGATGTCTGGTATGATTTGCGTGAGGAGTTAAGTACTATGGTCATGTGTACTTCTCTAAGTTCATCATATTTTGGGGTGTGAACTTTAATGTTCATTTTACAGATAATGAAGCAAAAGGTTTCACTGTGGCACTCAAGATTCTGTTCAGCTGAAATTCAGTGATATTTTGAAGAAATGCCCACTAGAGAAGATTGGGTTTGAGGCCATCTAAGCAACATGGAGATAAATGGGTCCATGAGGTGCATCTGAGGGCCCTGGGGGAACTGGCAGATGAAGTTGTTAAGCCATCGTCCATCAGATTTGGTGAGTTGTGGCACTCCAGTGAAGTTCCCACTGACTGGAAGAGGGGGAACATAACCACGCCTTTTTAAAAAGAGGGGAAAGAAGACCCAGGGAACTACAGGCCAATCAGTCTCACCTCAAACTATTTTATGATTTTCTCTAGGCTAGGAAAAAAAATGGGGTAGGCTGTTGTGGGGTACAAATGGTTAAATACTGCTGTTGTGTTCTTCTCCATCCAATTTCCTTCTCTTTACTTTCATTTTCCAAGGAGAAGTTGGTGTTACTGTCATCTGAGCCACTTCAGTGTTATGTCTGTATAAGCGAAAATACTCTTTGGAAATGCTAACCCTCGTGGGACAGATGGTTATATTTCTAAAGCACAAACAGAAAAGAACGGTGGGAGCAGGTGGATGGAGTGGTTAGGTGTATGATAAAGGTTCTGTAAGAGCAGTTCTTGGGGGCAGAAGGGGCTGGCTGAAGGACAATGATGCAGTTTCACAGAAACTACCTCAGCTTTAAAATCTTATTTTGCCACTTGAAAGACACTGGTGTGTTACCTAAGGTACTTCAGTAACCTCCAAAGAGGGTTTTTCCTTGGTATTCTGCTGTCTGGTAGCTCCAAAATGGGCACTTTGGTTCCTTCAGAGCCAGCAAAGATCTCTGCAGCCCCTGGGGAAGGGCTGGGCTTAACCCACAGGCTGCTTCGCCCACGGAGTCAGTGCTGAGAAACAGGTGAACAAAGGGCACAAGACAAAATCCATCTGAGAAGTGAGGCATGTGGTGAGGGGAGGGGAGGCTGGAGAGCAGTGTTATTTCTAAAACGTGGTTATAAGTGACCTTTAAATGTTCACAGAGGTCTTAAGAAAAGCGAGAGGAGAGGGAAGATATTTTTTGTTTAGCTAACTTTAGGTCACAGAGGACAGCAGAAATATTGGAGTTGTGCAAAATATATAACGTCCTCCTTATAAGCAAAAGTTTAGAGTCAGCCACAGGGGTTTTGCACTGTAGCATTTCATTTGGCCCCATGTATATATCAGAGGTGGCTGCTTGGCTGCGAGCAGAAGGAGGAACTAACGACACCACCGAAATATCAGTTCCCAAGGAGAAGTTTCTCCTCACCGGTAAAAATCAGGATGTCAAGTCCCAGATCTATATATTTCACTCTATCTTGTAGAAAACCAGAAGTTCAATGTAAGCAATCATTTCCTTGTCACTTTGGTATGTCGGCAGTGAAGCTTCTGCCTTCGCCTGCACTTTGATTTCAGGCATTAGCTGTCACCTACTGTGAGCTAAATTGTTTTAAGGCATGAAAGTAAAATTTTTCATCTAGACTTGATTCACGCTTCCAGTGTAACTCATACTCTTAATTAAGTCCTAAGTGAATTTGCTGTCATTTCTGAGGGCTAAGTCGCTTGTCTTTTGGTACCAGTTCTGCCTGCGCTAGACCACAGCTAAACTTTTGGAGGTCCCTTGCTTCCAGCTCAGCTGCAAACCAGCGGGCTTTGCTTTCAGCCTTTTGGGTGCCAGCATTGGTCTGAACGCTTCTCCCCTTACTTAACCAGGAAACCTAGGACCCAGGAACCTGCTATTGGAGTACCAGAAAGGTTGAGCAACCGTAAGACTCTGCCATCCTTCATATTACTCTTTTCCTGCCTAGAAAAGCATGAAATAAATACTGGCTGCTGTGTGATGGTGGTTATTTAGTGAGTAACACTGAAGTTAAACTCTGCTCCCTGCACAGCTCTCAGTGGTATGAGCAGAGGGGGTGGCGAGTATTAGGCATGTATCAATATAAAGGCATTAGAAATTGCTTTCCTTGTTCGCTTAGCTCTTTCCTTGCTTTACTGTCAAATTCTGTTTCCAGAATATGAGAGACTTGAGCAACCATCATAGCATCAGCGGCCAGTCAGCAAACCTGTCTTTAATTTGCTCGGGGTACAGGTGTTTGCAGGGAAAGAAATGTACAAGTTTCAGAGACTCAGTCCTGGACAGCAAAGTATGGGGGAAGAAAAAATGCCTCTTTCAAGGATTCATTTAAACGATTGCAAAGCAGTGACAGTGCACACGTGTGCTTCTCTGCCAAAATGTAACAGCAGCGCTGGGAGTCCCTTCTTCTGCATTGCACTGGTAACGGGGGCTGCTTTCCAGCCAACAGGCATAACGGGGGGCACCTGCATGAGCACAAGTGGGCTCATCTATTAACGTCATCCCAGAGACAGAGTGCCACTACAGCCTCTATTTTTAGCAGTATGAAGTGTGATGAGCAGGGATTATCTTGTTTATGGTATTATTATTACATAAAATATGCTCCCGAATCTGTATAAGGCTAATATGTGCTTGGAGGAGGAAGAAGTCATTAGGTTTCTCCTGTAAAGATGGATGTGTAGTTTTGAGGAACAGTATCTGTCCCAGAATAGTTAGCAGCTGCTGCAATAATTCTTCTGAGGTTATAAAGAAAGCGACAGGCTTTCTGGGGTTTGTTTTGGTAGAAGTCCAAGAAAGAAGAAAATTGGGCTTCAGGCATCAGATTCATCACCAGGGCTGGAAATGAAGGAAAGGCGGTGCAGCCCTGAAGCTTTGCTTCGTGTGCAGCAGGAGAAGGTCCTGCAGCTGCCAGTCCTGCTCCCACAAAAAGGGGAAACAGCCCCATGGCCCCAGCTGATCCTGGGTCAGAGCAATGTGCTAGGCTGGTCACATCATTTACAGACACTGCTTTGGAATAGCTGTGGGTTTAAGCACATTATTCTGTGTTGGTTGATAAATATGTCTACTGCTCGATGACTTTAAAAGTATAGGAGTAGATCTGTTTTTAGAATGAAGCAGGGAGTGAGAGTGATTACAGCCACCTTAAAGCCTGATCTCCATGTAGTCATATGGCTAATATTCCTTGTGTTGATAAATATTCCTGTGCTTCTCATTTCATAGTGGTCCATCACTTTAGAAGAACACACAAATACCTCACATACCTGAACAAAATGCCCCCTTCCCCTGAAATAGCCTAACTGGAGGAAATGAAGCATAAAATACTGCGCAGCAGGTGGCAATGATGAAATGATAAAGAAATGAAGCTGGCTGTATGGTTGCTCTCTCTTTTTTTTTTTTCCCAACGGGAAAAGATGATTCACAAAGTGATTTGAGGTAGATGCTTCAAGCCTGAGCAGCCTCAATGACTGAGGGTACGTGGTACTTAATCCACCTCCTTGGTCTACGTGGGCAGCAAGCATGTTTTATTTTTATATTTTAATGAGCACACAAGTCATATCAGGTTTCCGGAAAAGACTAAATCATAACAGCATTCCCAGAAGCTTTGTTTCCTCTTTTAAACTGTCTGCTCAAAATGAGAGGGAAAGCAGCAAGGCTGGCAGGCAGTCACCAGACATCTGCTCGGGGAATCCAGATTCACGCTCTGTGCTTCAGCTTGCCTCTCCTTCAGCAGGCAGCAAAATAGGGTGGGAGAGAACCTGTAGGTGCCTTATTACTTTGTAGTCAAGGAAATTTTGTAATTAGCGATCTCTTTATGGACTAGTCTCCTCTGCCTGATTTCCCTGTGCTGTTCTGGGCAGTAATTTAGCCCTTGGTGTCGTCTTGGGATGAGGTGGCTTCCATCCCAGGAGCACAGGCAAACCCCCAGCAAATATCTGGGTGCTGTCGAGGAAGATGAGGTTGCTTTTCTGATAAAAACTTTTTAAGGGATGAAGTACAAGTAACGAGAAGTAAATTCATCCTAACACATAGGTTCTACAGGCTTCACGTGGTGTAATTTGGTTTTGACTTTGAGTTTTGTGGAGCAACGGTTTTAGCTAAAACCTGCTAAGTTCTCAAACTGGTGTAACTTTGCAGGCAATTTTTTTTAGGGTTCCTCTGAAATCCTGGGTACAAATAGCTGTAAGGAAAGTGTTACTAGAGGAAAGAAACAGCATATTTGTACTCCTGTGCTCTCTTATAATCAAAGTTTTGTGTTATGTGGTGAAAACCTGTGGATCAGTTGTTTTTTTTTCTAGTCTTCACTGTGTCTGCTGGTGGTCCTGGTAAAGCCCAGCCTTAGATGGACCACGGAAACAAACTGTATACTGACTGTAGCCTTCTCCATTTAAAAACTGGGACAGAAGCTGTACTTTTCAATTCCCACTGCATCTTTCCATTCCAGGACTAGGCAGCACGCTTGCCTCTTCTCAGGAATCCATTTGGCACTTCTTGTGAGCAATAAAATCAAACTTGAATCAAAGGAAAAAGTAAATGAGGACAAGAACAGCCTGTTGTTTTGATGTCAGATCAGAGCCTGTAGGAAGCACTCTGGCTGCAGCAGGTTGCTGTTAGGGTTTGGTCAGTTGACGTGAAGATGTGCTGCAGGGCTGCTTTCAACAGGAGCTTCAGAAATGAGGGACAAGGCTTGGGCAGAAGCAAACCTGCCATGGAGCTCCCAGGACCCTGTGGATAGGGATCATGCAGGGGGAACAGAAAAACCTCTCAACACTGGGAAAACACCAAAAGGGAGATGGCTTGCGTAAGTCTGCTCTGGCACCATAAATGTGTGCATTATGAAAATTACAGGGTAAAGCATTGCACCCTTCATGCGGAAGACTTTTCTTAGTCATAAGACTATATATGTGTGTGTTTGTATCTTTCAAGTTTTATATTTGATCATCTCTAGTAAGAGTAAGTTTCAAAAGTTCATTAAATTATTGAGCAGTTTTTTGTTTTTCCCAGGAAAAACATCCTTAATCTCATACATTCCCCCAAAGAGACGAATCTTTAAAATGTATTTGCGTCTAATGTGGAATTTATTTTATGACAAAACAGGAGATACTTGTACATGAAAAATAAATACCAAGAATAAGTCATGCATTTTTCATTTTGAGTCTGAGTACGGAGAGTTGAGAAGTTTAAATATTTAAAATAAGCCCTCTGGTGCCCAGTAGAGCTCTGGGCTGTGCATATAGGGGTGTGTGTGTGTGTGCTGGGTGGGGGCTGAACCCCTGTGCCTCAGGGGTCTGTGCCCTGCACTCTGGTAACTTGGGGGT